GGCTTGAACTCATAAAAATTCTCTACAGGTTTGGACATTTCTTACATCATGACCTACATAAAGATGGGTGAATTTGGTCATAAAATTGGCAAATGTCTTTTCTCATACTGCATTTCCAGGTACATGGGTTTGGCTGTCACATTTCCTCAATTTGGATGTTTGCCCAGTCAGTTACTAGTTGTGTGTGTGGTGCTGGGCAACTTACTTAACCACTCTGTGCCTTAGCTTTCTGTGCTATATAATGGCACTCATCAAATGATGGCCTGATCCTGATCATCACCAGCCTGACCACCTTAAGTTTAGTCATTTCAGGGTGTCTTTGACAAGATTCCTGTCATCTCTCCTATTTGCATTGATGCCTTTAGCTCTCCCTAACATCAATTTCTGTATCTATTAATTTCTGGCTACATCTCGTCCAGCAGAATTCTGCGGTACCAAGACTTATATGGCAGTGCTCCAGGCTTTGAAATGATGGTTCAAAGGGTTGTAACATCGTGCAGCCTAACACAGGCTACGATGCACACTGGTAAGGTCCTAAATCTGCCATGTACTTCAATTTACCTCAGTAAGCCTCAATTCCTTACAGATAAAATAGAGATAATAGTACCTGTATCATAAGAGATGTAATATTAAATGGTTTAACACATGTAAAAGCACTCAGAATGGTGACTAGTACATGAAATAGACACCATGCCCAAGCCCCACCCTAGGATTTTGATTAAATGATCTGCGGTATGGCTCAGGCTACATTTAAACATACTGTATATATGTTTAAAATATACACAGTACTCCCATGCCTTTCCCTTCTCTCTCTCCTTTCCCCCTAAGCATGTTATCTTTGCCTTTCTCTCTCCTAAGTTCCAAGGGCCGTACTTCTGCTTCTGTGTCTTGTTTCCTGAGCCTACACAGTTCAGCTAGCTGACATCTACTACCTTTGTAACTTTCTCTTGTAATTTTTTTGTTTTGTTTTTATTGTTCATATTGTTAAAGTTATTCCTGATTTTTCTCCTTTTCTGCACCTCCACCCAGCCCTGTCCTCTCCCCACCCCAAGCCCATCCCCACATTGTTGTACACAAATGTTCTTTGGTTAACCCCTTCACCATCTTTTCATCCCATCCCCCCGCCCTCCTTTCTGGCAGCTGTCAGTCTGTTTTATGTATCTAAGCTTCTGTTACTATTTAGTTCATTGGTTTACTGTGTTCATTAGACTCTATATATGAGATCACATGGTATTTTTCTTTCACTAACAGGCTTAATTTACTTAGCATCATTTTCTTGACGTCCACCCATCCTGTTGCAAAATGTTAAGGGTTTCTTCCTTTTCACTCTGTGTAGTATTCCATTGTGTAAATGTATCACAGTTTTTTTATCCACTTATCTACTGTTGGGCACTTAGACTGTTTCCTGCATTTGGCTATTGTAAATAGTGCTGCTATAAACATAGGGATGCATATACATTTTTTATTGGTGTTTTGGGATCCTTGGGGTATATTCCTAGAAATAGAATCACTGGGTCAAAAGGGAGTTGTATTTTTAATTTTTTAAGGATACTCCATATTTTTTTCTATAGTATCTGCACCAACAGTACACTAGGGTTCCCTTTTCTCCACAACCTCGCTAACACTTGTTGTTTGTTGATTTATTGATGACATTCTGACAGGTGTAAGATGATATCTCATTGAAATTTTAATTTGCATTTCTCTGATGATCAGTGATGTTGAACATTTTTTCACATGTCTACGGGCACTCTGTATTTCCTCTTTAGAGAAGTGTCTCTTCAAGTCTTTTGCCCATTTCTTAATTGGTTTATTTGTCTTCCTGGCATTGACTTGTATTACTTCTTCATATATTTCAGAGATTAAACCCTTGTCAGATGCATCATTAGCAAAAATACTCTCCCATATAGTGGGTTCCCTATTCATCTTGCTGATGGTTTCTTTAGCTTTATGGAAGCTTTTTAATTCGATGTAGTCCCATTTGTTTATTTTCTGCTTTGTTTCCATTGCCTTAGGAGATATATCATCAAAAATATTTCTACACTGAATACCTGAGATTCCACTCCTTATGTTTTCTTCTAGGATTTTTATGATTTTGTGACTTACATTTAAGTCTTTTATCCATTTCAAGTTTATTTCTGTGTATGGTGTAAGTTGGTGGTCTGGTTTCATTTTTTTTGTATGTACCAGAAATTCTGTAGGCGACTCTCATGTGCAGTAAGGATTGAGAACCACAGGTTAGATCAGAGATTTCATTGTGCCCACAAGAGGCACGCCAGTGTGCCACCAAAAATTTTAAAATATGCAAAACCTGACTATTTAGTCAGGGGCACTGACCTCTTTTCCCTTAAATTGTCAAATAAAAAAATGACAACAGCCAACACAGTAGCCATCTGGTATGAATCAATCAAAATTGTTCCCATATTTTTTTTGGTCACATCAGCAAAAAATATATTTTTTGGCATGCATGTTGCAGAATTTTAGTAATTAGTTTATGTGTGCCAAGAGTTGAAAAGGGTTGAAAATTGCTAAATTAGGTGATTTTCAATATGTAGCCTAATAGGGTTTCCATGTTTATGCTTTATGTCTTTCATTATTTAGTTTAAGTTCTGTCTAGAAAATACTCTATGAAGATAGAAGTTCATTGAAAACTGTTAAGAGTAGAAAAAAACTAAACTTACAATCATTTAGCATATACATAGTAGATATATTGGGTTGGCCAAAAAACTTATTGTTCTTTTCATAAAATAAGACACATTTTTCATTTTCATCAATAACTTTGTTGATTTGGATATTTTGTATGTCGGCTATCTCCTGTGTTATATATATAATGTTGATTGTTCTCATTTAATGTCTCAGTTTGATAGCTACCAACTTCAACTGGTCTGCCTGACTGTAGGGTATCATCCAGGAAGAAGACTCCAGCACGAAACTTTGCAAACCACTTTTGATACATTTGATCAGTCAATTACAGCATCTTCTTCATACACTGCATAAATCTTTTCTTTTGCATTTCAGTTGCATTTTTACCTTTCTTGAAAAAATAAAACATAGTATGTGGAAAATATTATTTTCTTTCATCTTCAGTATTAAAATGGCTACACAAAAATTTACCAATTTTGTTGTTTTTAAAAAAATGCATGCTGATATGACAACTGTCACAATACAATCTAATAAAATTGTTTTGAATGAAATTAAAGACAACGAAGTGATCTAGAGCCATCTTATGGAAAAAATAAAATAAAAAATTTGGCAAACCCAGTATTTTATTATGGTAGGTTCTTTATGATTCTAAGTCAAGCAATTTTTCAATTTAAAATATCATAAGCAATTTTTAGACTGTTTCAACTCACAGTCCTACAATGTAATATGGAAAATAACTGGTTTTAAAAAAGCAAACTTCGTAATTCAGTTAACAAACATGGGATATGTGTGCTTATGTAGACAGAAGAGAAAACTAATTGGGTGTTTGTAGTCCGATATGTTGTAATGAATTGGGTTATCAGGTGGTGACTTAATTGGGCTATTGAATGAATTAACACCCCTTAAATGTGGAAAGTTCACACTTAGCTTCATCAGTTCTCAGTGAACTGGTGGCAGTATCCAAAAGATCAGATTACACTTCTGAAAAAATATCCCAATAGTTCATACTAAAGAATAATGAGTGTCATTAGAGCGTTGTCCCCATATGCTAAGGTTGTGGGTTTGACCTCTGGTCAGGGCACATAGAAGAAGCAATGAATGCAAATAAGTGGAACAACAAATCAATGACTCTCTCTCTCTCTTCCTCTAAAACAAATAAATATTAAAAAGGTAAAAAATAATGAAAATTAGAGACATGCAAGATAAAGGATGTAAGTAAAAGAAAGATTGACTATACCCAGGGAAGAGAAACAAGGAACTGAGGAATAAATAATGTGTGTTATTTATTAATATCACCTTTTGATTCAGTAATAAATTATTTATAGGAAAGAGTTGAAAAAGGCGGGGATTTAAAATTATTTATGGAAAAAGTATTGGATCTCAAAAATGCTTCAGAGAAAATTGGGTTCATTATTGATCTTTTGGGGGGGGTAGCTCAATGAATTACTTTATGACTGGGTTAATGAAGAACTAAATATGTAGGAATATAAATACAATTCCCAAAACTTTAAATCCTTTCTCTCTCTTTCATCCCAGACTTATTTCAAAGTCCTACTTTTTTTCTATATTCTACCACTCAGAACTCTTAATTTTTAAAAGTGGAAAAAGAGTTACTGCTGATTATATCTTTTTTTTAAATTTAGAAAATATGGAAGTAGAACTGGGTAGCAGGTATAAACACAAAGAATTGGGGGACCTGTGCTTACAATGCTTGGTGCCGGCTTCTGTGTTCCACGGTAGAAAGTCTCCTTTAAAGAGAAGGGTATGCAAACCTTAGGTTGCTGAAGGGTTCCTAGAGCCATCTTGTAAGGAAGGCTGCTTTAGGTATGCATTAAATTTCACCCCTGGGCCCCTTGTACTTGCCATGCAGGTGTTAGAAGTTCATCTTTCGATTCCCAGTGGCTTCTGCAACACTGACTACGTTATTTGGCAGGCCTAGTACAAAATGAAAATGTGCAGCTCCTTATTCAAAGAACAAAAAAATTAAAATATAAAATGTTTTCCTTTCTTCCACAGTCTTTCCCTCAATCTGTAATGACGTTTTTATTTGCTATTTAATATTTTGTGTCCTCAGGCTTGGGGAGACTTTCCTGACAAATGAAGATTATCACAGGGCCCCATTCTGTGCTAAGCACACATGCCACCCTCCCCCTGCCCCCACTCCCTGACCCCGGCTGCAGGGTTCCCCTTCCACCAGTCCCTAGATAGACCCATGTTCTGGCCGGAGTTGGAGAAATCACACCAGGTGTCTCTCCTTTCCCTGGGCCCAGTGCCCATGGGAACCCACAGTGGACGGTGGACCCTCCGAGGGTAGTACAAGCTCCGCACCAGAATGTGGTAGGTACCTGGATTGGAGGTGGGTAAGAAGCTCTTTTCCACCCATCAGTCACCTGTGAACACTCCATAGTCTGCCAGTCTGGGATGAGGATGGCTGTTGTCACAGCTTGCCCTGAGATGTCTCGGAGTAACAGCAACCCTTCTGTCTACCCCAGGCCTCTGCTGGAGCTGGAGGCCAGCAGCAATCACCAGATGAGGACCAGGAGAGGAGAGCTGGGGGGTTCCAAAATGCCAGGGCAGCTGAGAATCCATTCCACTGAGGTCCAGAAGTAGACTATTAAGTAAGCTGAGGCTCCTAGCTACTTGTACATGCTCTGAATTTCATAGGACTTCACTTGCAAAACACAAAGGGAAAGATAAAATTAAGAATTTCAAGACAGACTATTAAACCTCAGGGGTGGAGGAGGGTCTTTGGGCCAGTACCCAGTGTGACTGAAGTGGTTGCATACTAATGAATTATACCCTGGAATATCCTTTCTGACATGAAAATGAAGAAACTTTTTTTTGAAAGACTAAGAAAAACTTGAATATCACTAGGGCTTCTTGTATAGTAATGCTTCCAAACTTTAATGTGCATATGAATTATGCACATTATATGAATTATCTGAGGTTATTTGTTAAAATGCAAATTCTAATTTAGATCTGGGGTGGGTCTGGGCTTCTACATTTCTATCAGCTTCCCAGCTGATGGCAAAGGTGGTCTGGGAATCACCTTTCCACATCTCCCTCCCCCACAAAAAAACATTTTTTATCTGGAAATAATTACAGACTCACCAGAAGTTGCAAAAACAGTACATAAACTCCCCTGTCCTCAAATGTGCTCTAAAGTTGTCTCCTTGTCTCTAAGCAAAATAAAAGTTTGAAAAAGTTCTAGAATTTAGAAGTTAGGAACATCCTTGTTAAAACTTTATTATATCAAAACTGGAACTTTTTCAAGACTTCTGAAATAATTAACATGCCATTCATTTTACCTTAGCAGTAGGGTTACTTTTTAAGTTAAAAAAAATTGACTTGTAAAGATGAATGCCTAAGATGTTCTTTATAGCATTATTCATAATAACCAAAAGGAATGAAAATAATTTAGTTATTTATCAGGCCTTTTGTTCAATTTTATATGATGGAATCAAAAGGACAAGGTAATTCCATATATATTGACTAAGATGCCCAAAATGTATTAAACTAAAAATAAACACAAAAGTTGAAATTAAAGAAGTCAGACACAAAAGAATACATCTGGTATGACTCTTCATTGAAAACATAAAAAACCTGAAAAGTTATAGTGCTTACTGATGTATGCTTAGGTAATAAAATTAAAAGAAAAACAAGGAATTGATTAAAAGTCAGGCTGGAGGAAACTTTGAGAGGAAGGGAGGTGGGGGTAGTGATTAGGAAGAATCACAGGGAAGTCTTCTAAGGGACTGGAAATATTTTACTTTTCAAGCTGGTGGTCGCAAGGGGGTTCACTTTGTTGTTTTGGACACTTATCTATGTGTATATTACATTTCAACATATAAGGGAGGACCCTGAAAAACCAGAATTTATATATAAAAAATTGTGTACTTATTTTTACATGTTTAAACTTTAGTCACCTTCAAAGTACTGTCCATTTGATGCAATACACCTATAGAGACGTTATTTTCCACTGCTCAGAAGAGTTTTGGAACTCATAGATTTTGATGCCTTTTAGTGCTTCTGTTGTTTTGTGTTTTATGTCTTCCACATCAGCAAAGTGTTTCCCTGTGATGACTTTTTTTTTCATCTGGGGAAACAAAAAAAGTCAGTGGGAGAGAGATCAGGTGAGTAGAGAGGGTGGGGCTGGGGGTTCATGCCATTTTTGGTCAAAAACTGCTGAACACTCAGTGTAGTGTGGGCAGGTGTGCTCCTTAATAACCCATCATGAAATGGGCAAACACATGAAAGAGTCTTGAAAACAATTCACTAAAGCCGAAACACAGCCTCTCGCAACAACGCAGGCTGGTAGAACACTCTCACATGGCTCCTAGAACACTCTCACCTGGCGGGGAAACCCTGTACTACAAGGGGTGCCCGCCCTCTAGGAGATAATTCTGTTTTGGGGAAGTGGTCTCTCTTGTAAAAACTATATTTTACAACTACATTAGGCATACATATAATCTCTTTTTTATTTATATGTATGCGCATATTGTATTTTATAAAGGCTATACCCACACAAAAAAAGATACATAGATATTATCACCTTTGGGGAATGTGGGGTAGGGAAGATTTCACTGTACATCTTACAATTTACATTTTACCAAAATTTGTATTTTCTCTATCGTCATGTGTTAACTTTATTTTCAAATACTCCCTCAAAGTGTAACCAAACGAAAATGGAGGTTTGGTTGTCTGCCACAACAAGGCCAAACTCGTGAGGCAGATGCTGGTGCAAAAGGAAAGAAGGTTACTTAGGTGCCACACACCTGGGAAAATGGTGGACTCCCTCCTCAAAGACCATCTCAATTTTCTTGCTCGAGCCAGAGGTTCTTATAGTGATAGGAAGTGGAGGGCTTTTCTCCCATCCAATTATCTTTCTAGCTTTTGGTGCACTCAAGACCCTATCCATTCATTTTCCTAGCTTTCCCAGCTCAGTGTAAGACCCTCCCCCTGCCGCTATCTTGGCCAATGGGGGAAAGACTACTCTGGTGCTCTTCTGTCTATGATGATAAAAGATTGTAAATATAGACCACTCCATTTTTATATGCTTCTGTATTGTTTGAATTTTCTTCGTAATCATGTATTACCTTAAAAATACTTTCTCAAAATTTGTGTGTGAATACATGTATATACATATGTGATTATTGTGCATAATTACATGTGCATGGAGAATTCTGGAATGATACTCGTAAAACTTTTGTAGACCTCAGACAAATGTACAAATCTGGTGATATTTCTCCAGAAAAAAATGGGTTTATTTGGGAACAAAGAATTGCAATTCAAAGCATCCAATATAATGGCAAACCACGTGCAAGTCCAGGGAAACTAAGGCAGAAAAAGCTCTTTTATGGACTTGGGAAAGGGCTCTTGTAAAAATAGAGTCCATTGGCGGAAACCGAAAGTTCGAAGTATATTGACTTTTCATTGGCTGACTTATGTCAGTCTCCCATTGGCTGAGCTGTTACTGGGCAAGGAGGAATCTTTTCTTCTACCTGCTAAGTAAGTAGAAGAAGTGGGGACTGAGGCTTCCATCTTTTGATTTTCTGTCTCCTTTTTTTTTCCTTTTGCACTTCTCTCTTCTAGCTTCCCCAACCTCTCTGTGCAAGTTTCCCTTTATTTTCACCCTTTTAATAGTGGTCACCTCTGAGGAGTTTGCTGGGGGCATAATGCATTAAGAGAGGGGAGAACTTTCACTTTTTACTTTATATATTGCTGATTTGTTTTTTTTCCCTTTACGTGAGCATGCAGTGCTTTTAAATTTATAGCACACACCAAAAGTGGTGTTTAGTGTATTGCAGCATGTTTTGTTTTATAAGAAGAATAAACTTGGAGGGAGAGGGAGGGGTTTACCTAAAACAGTCTAAGTTGGGGAGAAAGGCTCGTCTGTGGGAAAACACGCCACCCTGGAACAGAAGCTCACGGCCCTGCCCCAACGCACTGCGTGAGCCTTTGCCGGAACTTTCTAAATTAAACCGCCAAGGCAGGAACCTTTAAAACGAAGCACAGGGTCTGGCCTGTGAGTTATTTGTTGAATTTACTGAAAACAGTACAGTGTTTAAGTAATTTTTCATTTACTAAGTTTTCACTGCTTAGTGATGCTTCATGTTTTGTAATGTTAGGTGTTTCGTTAGAGGTTGGGAGGTACAAACATGATTGATAGGATACAAGTGGGTAATTTAGCCAGCTTTTTTAAAGCATAGGATACTTTTCAAGTTGTTAATTAAGAATGATACTATACCCTAATTGTGAAGGGTTAGAGTAAATTATACAAAATTCAATAGGAATGACTGAGCAGAGAAGAAAAATTCACTTGAAATCTAAATGTGTTCTGGGGAAATGGTACTGGTCTTCATCAAAGCTCTGATACTGAAACTCAATGAGTAATCTAAGCAGATCTAACATTTTATTGCTAGTAATTAGATATTGTCAACAAATAATAATCAATAATAGTGTTCTGTTGGCAAAAGAGTTGATCCAATATAGAGATGAAGAAGGGATCTGCTCACAGAAATAGAGCCTTTAGGAATGAAGTCCAGCACTGGTAGCGAACTGTTTTGTTGAAAACAATAGCAATTTTCCATGTGAGGCCACTGAGCGCTTCAAACGTGGCTGGTCTGAATTGGGATGTTTTGTGTCAAATACACACTCAATTTCAAAGACTTAGTTTGAGAAATGGAATGTAAACTGCTCATAGTAGTGTTAGTAATAATGTTTAATATTGACTACATGTTAAAATAATACTTTGAATTCTATTGGGATGAAAAATTATTACTAAAATGTTTTATGTGGTTATAAACAAATTTAAAATTATCAATTTGACTCACATTTATAGCTCACTTATGATTCTTTCGGACAGTGCTGGTATCAAAAGTTTGAATTAGAATCGAACCGAGGATCCGCATTCTCATGTTTCTTACTCTCCAACAGGGAAAAGAATTCCAGGGAGGAAGGTACTTTGCTCAAAGGCACAAACATGACTGGGAAGAAGTGGGGACCGAGGCTTCCATCTTTTGATTTTCTGTCTCCTTTTTTCTACCTTACACATCTGGCCCCTAATGGAAAATTCCAGGCCAGAGAAACACACTTCCTTAGTACACTTAACACATCACACACTGTTTCTTTCACCTTGTAAGTGCCAGACAATGATAAAAAAATTTGTAGAGGTTTGGCATAGGATTGAGAGTACATAGAGACTAGAAGACTTTAACATTCTATTTTACATACCTCTGTTATTTTTAAATATTGGGCAAGAATTACACTAAGAAAGAAAAAAATGCCTAGGGTATGGTGGGGATGAAAAGCAGCCAGATAAAGTTCACAAGAAATGGCTTGAAATTCAAGTCTGGAGATATTTGAAGTAGCTTTTCCTACCATTAATTATCTTCTTTCACATCTCTAAACACCCTTAGTCAATTCTTTCTGCTTTCTTTGGGGTGCTTCACTTTTTACATTACTAATGCAAAATCTGGTACAAACTAATTTTTGAATCTGTAGCTGTGGCTCAAAAAACCTGTGTGTTTTTCCTACTTTTGTAAGCAGCAGGCTATAAAAATGATCAGTGATTTTGTTTCAAGAGAATTCAATCCTGCCTTCTAAAGGGCACTTGCCAACGGACTAGATGTTTCTATTTGAAGCTATTTGCTGCAATCATCTTTGAAATATTTTGCTCATGACTTTCAGAGCTGTTACTTCTGAAGGCAGATTCTTAGAACACAAATTCATTTAGCTTCCGAGTGTACACAGCCTCCTTCATTGGAACAGCTGTGCTGAGTTCCTGAATGGAGAAATGATTTCCACAGTACATTTTATAGCCACACACCATCCCTGAGGATAATCCGAAACACAATTTATTTTTATTTTCACTCCTTTATTGTAGAGGAGAAAAACATAGTTGGCTGGTCAGATGGGTAATGTTTACAGTAGCATTTTCTGTTCTTGTGGCAGTTTCCTTAAAGCCCTTGCCTTGTTGACTTTCTTTCTCAACCCCAGAACATGATTGATTGAGTGGTCCCCAGACCCAAGGCAACAATAAATGCAGGTGGCCTGTGCTTAACAGGATGCTTGGAGTACGTATGGGTATGTTATAGTTTCTTCTGTTTAAATTTTTGTCAATATTCTCATTTTCTCTTTTTATTTCTTTATTTTCAAGCCCTTTCAATCCCTGAAACAAAAAATAATCCTGAGAGACTATTAACATCTTCTCTATTTTTGTGAGGCAAGTGCAAAGGTTCTAAAGGGAATTTTAATTTGATTTTTTAAAGTTACTTACCATGGTCTGGCTAGTGTGGCTCAGTGGGTCAAGCGTCAGCCTATGAACCAAAGGATCACTGGTTCGATTCCCAGTCAGGGCACATGCCTGGGTTGTAGGCCAGGTCCCTAGTAGGGGGCATGTGAGAGGCAACCACGCATTGATGTTTCCCTCTCTTCTTCCCTTCCCCTCTCTCTAAAAATAAGTAAATAAAATCTTTAAAAATGTTATTTACCAAATACATATTCAGATTTCTGAACGTATCTAGAAGTTGAGTAATCTCAGTCTCTTGCATTCCAAAATCTGCTGCCATTCATTTCACAGTCATAATATTAAGCACCTACTATGTGCCATGGTAGGGTTTCATCTGTAACATTGACAGCTCATCACAAGAAAAAAATTTTAACCATGTATGGCGATGGATGTTAACTGTGCTTATTTTGGTGATCATTTTGTAGATATTGAGTCAGATTGTATACCTGAAACTAATGTAATGTTAAACTAATATAATGTTAAATGTTTGTTATAACTCAACTTAAAAAAAGAACTAATCTTGGCAGAGTGGAAAATGCTGCACAGAGCCCTTGGACCATTCATTCCTAAGGACCTGTGGAGGGAGAGAAGGAAGGGATGGAGAGTGTGCAGCTAACATAGCCTGGGAGAGCTCAGCATTCCCACCTCTAGAAATAGTCAAATTCTACACATTCCCAGCCTTTTTCTACCCTCGGGCTTCCGAGTTGCTGCATATGCCTTAAATCCCTGAGCTTTCCTGCTCTCTGCTCTTTCAGTGTCCCCATAACTCCAGAAAATGAAGCTTTTACATATGACTATGGTCTTAGCTCTATCAAACACCAGCTATGTGACCTCACTCTAGAATGAAGTAGCTGCTCTTTGGTCATTTACTCTGATCTGCAAAAGGAAAGAGTGGGACTCTTTTTAGCATTAAACTGTCAACCATGCCTAAAAAACATAAGCAGAGGTAGAACTTCATCAAAGCAGCCTTTTGGAAATGGTCATCCACTACTAGGGCACCCGGGTCACAAAAATGGTGGTTTTGCACAGTGGAGGTTTCAGAGATACGTGTATGTGCCTGGACCCTCTGCCCCAGACCAATTAAATAGAAATTTCTGAGGACTGGGACCGGGAACAAGTGTCTTTTTAAAAACACAACACCTAATAAGCAGCCAGTGTTGAGAAACACTTGTAGTGAAGACATTAGGCCTCGAGAGAGATAGATGTGGGTGCAAAATCTAGAATTTGCCACTTACTAGATGTAAACCCACGAGCAAGTCAAGAGCAGGGAAGGAACTCCCTCTGGGCCTCAGTTACTTGTCTGTAAAATGGGAAAAAATTGCATCTTTCACAAAGGTAGCCATAGCTATGTAGCACATAATGCATGCGAAGTGAATAGTAGTTACTGAAATGAGTCTATGGCTGTTCTGTCCAGATGACAGCCATTAGCTATGTGTGACTGTTTAAATTAAAATGAGCTAAAATTAAAAAGTTTTTTTCTAAGTCCTACCCACATTTCAAATGCTCAGTAGCCACATGTGGCTAGTGGCTACCATATTAGATATCAAAGATATGAAACATTTGTTTTATCACAGAAAGTTGCATAGATTGGAAAACATTAGCCTATAGAATCTGCTTCACTATTAGCTAAGTTTATTAAGGGAAAATTCATTTTTCCCTCTGTTCTGAAAAACTTACTATAATTTGCAGGTAAACAGCAGGCCTTTTGGCTTGAGCAGAAAAGTGAGGGAAATTCAGTAACCGGCTCTTCTATGGAGACTTTTTGTTGTTCTTATACACCTGGCTTATATAAATGACTTTACTTAGTAATAAACAAACAAGTGGGAACATCCAATCAATTGTTCAAATAATGATCACTCCTCCCCTCCTCACCCCACAAGTTTTGAGGTCACACTTACTATTTAGTCCATTTTTGAAGTCAAACATTAACTTTCTTCTGTCCTAGTTTTTAGTACCACAGGCATTATCAGTGAAACTGCTCATGTGTATGTGTGTACATGCACGTGAGTGTGTGTTTGCTGGAAAGTGCAAGAGGAAGGAGCAGAAAGGGGAAGAAAGAGCTAGCGTTGGTAAGGGAAGTCACTAAATATTTGTCTATGGGGAAAAAAAGGCCATAGATAAGATATGTTTGATGATTTTATGATCAGTAGTGTTTATTTTAGGCCTTTTGATATCTCTTCTATTCTAAAAAGTCTTCAGTGTCTTTTTGATTGTCCAACAGTAGGTAAGAGCACAGGATCTCAAGTCAGGCCTTCCAAGTTTAAACCAAGCGTCAGTATTGACTAGCTCGGTAACACTGGGCAGGTTATTGACCTTTTTAAGTCTCAGTTTCTCTGCCTAAAAAATGAAGATAAATGTTAGTATTTACACCTCATAGAATTGTTGCATAGATTAAATGAGAGACTACATGTAAAGTCTTTCATGCAGTGTCTAACATCAGATCGATGCTCATTTTTAAAAATCACTCAGATCATTTTTTAAAATTACTTAGAGGAAAAAGGATATTTTGTTGGTAAACACATCCCCTACTGGAGTTTTAAATCTGTTTTCAAATGTGATGCTCATCCCTTTGTCATATGCGCTAGGATAAGTAGGCCTCCTTGTTTCTCAAAAAAGATTTATAGTTTCTGTGTTACATAAATGTTCCACTTGCACTACTGTACTGTTTAGTTAAGCACAGGCCTAGAAGCTGGGCATGTGTCAAAGTCTGAAGAGCAAATGTATTGTTGATTTGAGCTACCATGTGTTAAAAATTGCAATATAACCAAACAGTCTTAAAAACAAGGAAGGTTCTTAACGGAAAAGGGACCGCAACCTACCTCTAAAATTCACTTTATATTTGTTTTGTCTTTCTGCAATGGTGTTTTTAGTGGCAACGTTGCTTTATTATTTTTTTAAATCTAAAACATGGCATGTCTTTTGGGTTTTTTATTATTTAGATGTTTCACACTCCTTTGTTTTGTTATTCAGTGTGACATACCTAAAAGCTAGCTCCCCAGTGAGTGGAAACTGCTCTCATTTATTTTTAGTCGGAGGCTGTATTGGTTCATATAGCTGGTTTCCCAGCTGAAATAACATAACAGGTCGGTGCTGTTTGAACACTGTTAATTGCTGAAAGTTTTTAAACTAGTCAATAGGTATGATTAGCTAGAATCCAAATAGTAACCCAAAGAGACCAAGCCACTTTTGATAAGATAAACACTCTACTAACCTTAAACATTCCCTTTGGGTTATTCTCTAGTGGTACAAAATGTTAACTAAAAAAAAATGTCTATTTAGACTTTAGAAAAAAATGTTGGGATATTTGAAACCAAGTTAAAGGTCATTATATCCAATGTATGACTAGTAGTTAAATATCAGCAATGCTGGTACTATATCATTAGCTCATGAGAGCTGAACAGTGATGTTCATAACATAAAGTCTTTTTGTTTAAATTTTATTTATTGGGGTCAGAAAGTCTTGATTTATAAGATCGCATTGTATACTGTCATTTCTGTTTGGGCAGCTTTAAACAAACAGTAGTAACTCAAAGAAGTAAACAATGAGCTTTTAATAAATAAAATATACTATAGATTCTTTATTATCTCAAAACTAGAAAGCTTTCTAGAATAAAAATTCACTTCTATTCAGCATTTAAAATATTCACTGGAAACATAAATAAAATTTTTCCATAGTCCAGGCTGTAGGGCACTTATATTAAAATTAAGTTTGTTTGAGATATATTATTTAAAATTTTAAATTGTTTTAATTAAATATTATTTATGTGAACCATGCTCATTCCCTTAACCCTTGAAATAGAGGCTGGAAGGCAGCAAAAATAACCAAAGTGTGGTATTGTGTCCAAAGATACCAGTTTTAGAGTATTACCACTTCAGGCTGTGGACTTACATAAAAATATTTTCAGCTCTCTGTGCCTCCTATTGGTAAGAAGATTTTCTTATCAATAAAGTACAGGGGGCAAACTAGCTTTCTCAAGTTTTTTCCTGCTCAGAAATTCAATGATCAGGTACAATTTTACAAGATTTAAAAACAATCTTATTGTTTTCTTGGGTCACTGTTGAAAAATAGGAAGTAGGAAGAAGAAAAATAATCTATAGACCCACTAGCCACCACTAAAATTTTGGTATATTTACTTCTGGTTTTTTCTACATTAAAAAAAATAGAGTGGAGTTTATATAGCATATATATATATGTGTGTATATATGCTTAATATTATAACATTAAAAGCTTTGCATAAATAGCATTTTGAAATGGGTGTGTGAATATAAACACTTCTTTTTCTATTAGATTTCAAGTAGTATCAATTTTTTATATATAAACAATGTTTTAGTGAAAATATTTGTGCGTAAGTGTTACTCTTCCTCTTGCTCTATTTAGCATTATTTCAATGGATAGTCTCCTTGTAAATGAAATTACAAGGTCAATGATAAGAATAATTTTAAAACTCTTATGGGTTTGCTTTCCAAAAGAGTTAGCCAAATTGCATTACAATTAAACATATATATAAACTTTATAGAATTATGCCAATTTTACCACAACATAGGTAGCATTGAATAAGTTGACCAAGATTTTAATATGACTCTTCCACATTTGATCTTTCAGGATTTTAAATTTTAACCAAGTATGATGCCATCACTTCATATGGTCAAATTCATTTGACACAGAGAAAAGCTCTGTTTCATGGTCACAGACTGTATGTCTATTAATTGTTGATGAACTTTAAGATTGCCGGTATCCCTAGTACTGATTGTAATTATGAATCTAAGGATATTTTGAGGATAGTAATATGAAATTGTCTATCTATTTTTCCCTGTTCTCCTTCAAAAAGTATTTGAGGCAATGTTGGATTCTTTTTACAGGAATTGCTAAGTTAGATCTTACTGAATTTACCTTCTTTAGATAGTAATTATAGACTTTGGAACTTGTGAATAGTAATAATTAATTAATAATAAAATAATATCAGCCACTTGAAGGTAAAAAAGAGTGAACAAAAACAAACAGATCCTGGTGAGAAATTCAGGCTTAGAGGAGGTGAGGGAAATTAAAGAAGTCCTAAATAAGTGGAGAGATAAACTATGTTTATAGGTTGGAAAACTCCAGGTTGTTAAGATGGCAGTTCTCCCCAAATTGATATATAGAGTCATTGCAGTCTCAATCAATATCCTAGCAGGCTTTTAAAAAGGAAACTGACTTCGAGGCTAACATCATTAGGGTGCATGTGGATAGCAGGTGTCCCTGGTATGATGTGATGAGAAGGATACTTAACCTTGGAGCAATTCTTTCTGAAAACCCATGACACAGCCTAATCATGAGACAAACAGCATATAAAAGAAATTGGGGCACATTCTACAGAATACCTGACCAGCACTCCTCAAGATCATTAAGGTCATGCATGAAAAACAAGGGAAGTCTGAGAACTGTCACAGACCAGAGGAGAGAGGAATAGACTAATGACTAAATAAAATGTAGTATTCTAGATTGGATCCTGGAACAGAAAGGGGGCATCCGTGGAGAAACTGGCGAAATCCAAATAAAGTCTTAAGTTTAGTTGATAGCAGTGTAACAATGTTGGTTTCCTGGTTTTGACAGGTATACTACAGTAATATAAGAGAGAAGTATTAGGAAGAATAGAAACTATGTGAGACATAGATGGAAACTCTCCATACTATCTTTGCTACTTTTCTGCAAATTTAAAATTATTCCAAAATAAAAAGTTTATTAAAAAAAAAGAAATTGGCAAGCTTCTTCCAAAATGTATGGAAAGGCAAGGAACCTAGAATAGCCAAAACAATTTTGAAGAACAAGAATGAGGGTTTTTAGATTACGTAATTTTCTGATTTATTAAAGCTACAATGATCAAGACTGTGGTTTAGTATAAGGATAAACATATAGAAATTGAATAGAATAGAGAGCTCCGTAATAGGTTTCTATTTATATGATCAAATTATTTTGGAGTAAAGTGCCAAGGTAATCTAATGGGGGAAAGGATAATCTTTACAACAAATGGTGCTACAATAGTTGGATATCTGAATGGAAAAAAATGAACCTTGATCCTTACCTCAGCCTTACACAAAATCGACTTGACATGAATTTAGGCCTAGCTGTGAGAGCTAGAGCTATAAAACTTCTAAAAAATAGGAGAAAATTCTTGTGGCATTGGGGAAGGCTAATGGTTCTCACCAAGGGCAATCTTGTCCTTCAAGAGTCAGTTGGCAATGTCCAGAGACATTTCTGTGATTGTGATAACTGAGGTGGGGAGCATGTTATTTGTATCTAATGAGTAGAGGCCCAGTATGCTGATAAACATCCCACAATGCACAGGATAGTTCCCTATAACAAACAACTTCCCTGTCCAAAACCTCAATAATAGAGAGGTTATCCAAGATTTCTGAAATAGATCACAAAAATCATGAATCATAAAAGAAATTGACATGATAAATTTTATAAAATTTTTAAACTTTTTCTTTGTGAAAGACACAATTAAAATAAAAAGGCATCAGAGGATGGGAGGAAATATTTTTAAAACATATATCTGAAAACATATATATTGGATTCAGAATACAAAAAAACGTTTACAACCAATAATAAGAAAACAAACTAACTAAAAATTGGCAAAGTATTTGAACAGACACCTGAAAAAAAAACATGCAAATATGGCCAATAAGGACATGAAAAAATGGTCAACATCACTAGTCATCAGGGAAATGCAAATTAAAACCACAATGAGATACCACTACACACTTAGTGGAA